CAAGATGCAAGATGCAAGATGCAAGATGCAAGATGCAAGATGCAAGATGCAAGATGCAGCATGCAACAATTTTGTTGTCAAGCTTTTTTAGAAATCGGCGTAATTCTATTCTCACCTCTTGAGACTCGAGTTTGATTCTTAGACTCAAATGTGAGTAGAGTTTGTTGATCTTCCCTTAATTCGAGGGTTGTTTTCTCCATCTTCAAAACTTTCAATATATTTTCATTATCCATTTTCTTTTTGACGTACTACGAAACACATCAGACTATTTTGGGACTGCTCTTGTCGTTTTTGGCTATATGTTGAGAAAATACTCATGAATCATGCAGATTTTAGTCTTAATTGACAGCACCTCAGTATCAAATCTTATAAAAAACTTATTTTATTTTACTTGAAGGCAAACGAATAACAGTACTTCAGCATTTAAGAAAAAAAACGTTTTATTCGACAAACAAGTAGAGTAACTTCATCTGCCGATAACTGTATTATCTTGCTTACGTTCCAAATCATTCTCGTAGAAACAAAAATCAAAACAAGTAAAAAATGGAAATAATTGTTCGGATATATATAATATTACTCGGCATTGTTCGAGCGTTTTGTTGCTTACAAATTTTAACAAATGGTGTTCACACTCTGACTACCGTTGCTGTCATTTAGTTGAAAACTTGCGACTCAGCTGATGAACATTACACATGAGACAGGAAATGACGTCATTTGAAACCAAGCAGTTGTTGCAATATCTTATTAAGATCTTATTTTTCTTTTCCAGGCTAGAACCTTAAGAATATCAAAGCCATCATCGTTGATTGTAAAAAAAGATATAATGAAACACCGTTGGCAATAGCTCCCCCAGTCTCTTCCTCCAATTCCTCGTCTTGTCCATCATTACACAAGTTGTATTTGCAGCATTTAACAGTGCACGGTCCGTATCGGCGGCACCATTCCTTTGCTCCATCACACTTGTACCCAGGGTAGCACGTCCGAGCTATTGATTTGTTACCATGATAGTTTACCTTGAAGTTAAAAATGCATCCTTTCACACGGGCTGTATCTCGTTTGACCTTAAAATACTGTGTTTTGGTGACACTGATGATGATGATGATTTTGATGATAATGACAATGATTGKGATGGTGATAATGATGATTATGATGCTGATTGAGATGATAGTGATTATAATGGTGATTGTGGTATTGATATTGGCGAAAATATGCTGTTATGACGAGAATAATTATAGCGTTGGAATGAGTTTTAGTAGTATGAATATAATGGTGATGATAGTAATGTATCAATAAATAAAGTTACAACATGGCTACAATGAATACTTATACTTGTATGTAGATAGATTAACTTTTCAAAAAGGTAATCCCGGATATGTATCCATAGCTAAGGCTCTAGGGCTCTATAGATGTGTATAGAGGTTTGGCACCATCACGTGAGGGCAGCCATTTTGGATGGCAGGAACAATACAATCGTTTTACATGAGAAAGAATTCAATTCCCGAGAGCAAAGGGAATTTATTGTTCTGCCATCTAATAACATGCAGGCGAATACCCGCAATATGGGCGTGCGCACGTGATGGCGCAAAAGCTCTAATGAAGTCAACATGGCTTGCATGAGGACTAAACACAGGTTTTGTGCTATTCTTGATATGCAATCACATGATTCAAAATCCCTTGAGATATAACTAACAATGCAACAGCCGCCATGTTGGTTGATCCCTARCAAGAGAAGATAACGAGGCTTCGTTATCGTCAACCAACATGGCGTCCATGATGTAAAATTCGTCCCAAGAATAGACCCATTGTATGTGACGTCAAAGCAGCTCAATTTGGAGGACAAAACAAAATAATTTCAATCTCCTGAGAATTAGAACCTACTGTTGCTATGTCCTCCGAATTGAGTTACATTTGCAGTGCTGCAAGGGGTCTATATAGAGAACACGTTTTTCTTGCATGATGCTTTACAAAGTATTCAGTTTCATACCTCGATACAAGAGTCATAGCCCATGTCCTTCCAAGGTCGACAGTCAATGTTTGCCTCGTTTTCTGCACAATCGTCTTCGTTAAGCGGTGGCCAGCAGAGCTTGCATTGTATTGCTAATGCTAAGAATAACACACAAAAATATAAGAAATAAATACTAAAATTTTGGGCGGTTATTTTCAAACATCCAAGAAGGAAGAAGAAGAAGAAGAAGAAGAAGAAGAAGAAGAAGAAGAAGAAGAAGAAGAAGAAGAAGAAGAAGAAGGAGAAGAAGAAGGAAAAGGAGGAAAAGGAGGAAAACTTAAATAGCGTGCAAGAAACGCTACAGACCCCTTGCACTGAGTCCCTAGAGGAATTGTCCTTGGGGACAAAACAAAGGATTGTGATTGTCCCCCAGAACTATTCCTCTAGGAATCCAATGCAAGTGGTCTATAAAACAGATGTAAAACTTTGAACAAGAGGCTACATGGTATACCATCATCGTCCTCTCAGTAAGTTCATTGAGCATGCGCAATCGTCTTAATTTATCTCGTCGCACGTCGTTGAAAAAATATTTTTTTAAATTTACTTCATAAACAAGCTTGTCAACTGTCTAACACTTATCCAACCATATCATGCATTTTTGGGGCAAATCAACAATTTTAAGAGTTATATAACTTCAAAACTATACTAATATTATTGGTTTAAAAATTCCAGTCACTGGTAAATGTAATATTCCTTTCTTTGTGTGAGTGTTAGTCACAGCTGGTTTTGGTTTCAAATATACTTTATGCAAATAACATGCTAATGAGTAGACTGCAGACATTGATACATAAGTATTAGAGACAAGCTTTGGTGCTCACAAAACAAAATGCAATCGGAGTGCTTTATTGTCGATACGAAATCTGATATTTTATATTATTAATTGAGCTTTTTTTCACACAACAAGAACTTATTTATATTTTTGAGCGAATTTTCTAGACATGAAATTGTAACAGTTGAGTAGAGCTGCAGCCGTAGACGCTAAGTTTGAATGTTAATGGGAGGCAAAGTTAATACGCTATGTTTTTAAGACAAAAACTTATAACAATGTTGTATTATTCGAGTCTTAAGTACTCTTTACTTGTTTCAAGTAGATTAGTTCACGTGTTGGTCGACGTAATGCGAAAAAGTGTGTATATTCACAGCCTCTTTACGATATTCGAATGTCTTGTCTTTGTCTTTTATGGCATAATTATAAACGTCGTAATTGTACAACTATTTCAAAAAACAATCTTATTTKATTACCAGTATTTATTTAAAGTGATTGAAATAACCAAATGAAACGTGATAAGGCAGTAATAACGTCCTATAAAGCTTTAAGATGTACAACAAATTATAATACATTTGGATTTTTTTTTTTTTTTTTTGTGGCTGACCTGGCAAGAGAGTTTTCAAATCAGTGCCTAAGATTATGAGTCAAATATCATTCTGAGTCACACCCATACAGTTTCGTCAACAATTAGAATATGTATATTTGTCTTTTAGTTTCGAAAACGTACTTGCAACGTGAATGGCATTTTGCCTCGTGCAAATTACACCTCGTTTTTACCTGTATTTAGTAGAGCTCCAACTAAGAAGGTTAGTATCAACCCTCTCATAGTAAACTTCAAAACTTTTGGCAAATATTGTTTTGCTATGTATCAATAGCTTGAAAAGATTTCCAGGAGATGAGGGAATTCGATAAGTCGACCAGCCTATTTCAGATAAAGCTCTATGAGGTGGCAAACGAGTCTAAAAGCAAAGGTCAAGACGAATAATAAATATCTAAAATGTTGTTTGGGTTTTCATCTACCAATCAAATTGCAAAAAATTAAAAATAAAGGAAAAAATACGACATTATTTCAAAATTTATATGCTAATTAGCTGCCTCAAAGAAGTTGTTGACTCATCCGGAATGGAACGTCTGAACGGATCCAGATTGATGGAATATGGGCCTATTTCAAATTATCATATGACCCGTACGGCCCTGCTCGCGCGCTCTAATAAAACCATTGGAAAAAGTCACGTGATGGGGGCCGGACGGGTTGACGTAAGCGGGCCGGAAAACCCCGTCCGGCCCTGCTCGAATCCTCGCGCTTTCTTTTTCTTAATTATTTTTATTTTCGTGAGGGTCATATGATAAAATGCTTATTGACTGAGTTAGGTCGGGCCGTACGGGAAAATATTTGGCTCTCGGTCATTTGTACGGACCTCGCTGCGCTCGGTCCGTACGACATGACCTCGAGCCAAATATTTTCCCGTACGGCCCTCCCACTCAGTCAATAAGTACATATTATTTTTCCCAGTTCAGACCAGGAGTCACTTCCTAGAGTATAAGTTCTTCGTTTAACGGTTGCGCATACGAAAACACAAGCAAAAAATATCATTCACAATAGAATAAAACGTGGTTGATCGGAAATGCAAAACATTACACCAACAGGAATTAGTAGGATATATCTATTAATGTTGATTCAATTAATATTGATTGTGAGAGAGATTTGGTCTATTAATAACGAATACAATATTTAATCTTTTACTAGTTGCAAGTGCCAATATTTTGGCTATTTAATACTCCAAAATATGTAAAAAGTCAAGTGTTTAAAATCTACACTCTGTTTTAAAAGCACGCGAAAAAAAATGGCAGAAACAAAAGAAAAAGCACGACGCGTAGCGGAATACTTCTTTTAAAACAAACAATGATGAAAAACGCACTGCATATGCTCGGCATTTTGGCTGGAAATTAGTAGATGCGTGTCTTGCTACCAAATACAACCATTGGAGATTTACCGACGTTTGTATCATATGCGAATGTCTCTCGTATTTTTTGACCAGGAAAAGAACTAGAAACGACTAAATAAAGTGTTGTGTTCAAAAAAAAAATAAAATAAAATAAAAATAAAAAAGAAAAGGAAAAAACGGTCTCAACTATAAAGATTTGCCAAATGGCGGTAGATCTATAAGTTCATTTCTAAACACGACGTTTCTAAGGAATTTCCTGCCGACCTTGCGAGCATGCGCAATGCGCTTTTTGCAAGTGTCTTCTCGACACATAAATAATGCCGCAGCTAGACTTGCATTCCAACGGACGCTTTGCTGCTCTATAGTAATCTCCATTMTCTGAAACTCAAATACTCAGAAACAAAGAAGTGGTATTCAGTAGAGCGACACGTGGTATAGAATGGGAAGGGTACTATTTTTTAAAGAAATTATTTCTATACAAATATCCAAGATATTAAAAATGTTTATAACCAAAGTAAGCCAGAAAATGGGATTTTGGCAGGATTCAATTTTAATGTTGGGCGATAGGGAATGATCAGATATGTTCAATTATGCAAGCAGACATTATTTTAAGCATATGCTTTGATGACGATTGCTTATATTATTAAGCGCGTTTGTAAATTAATTTTCCTTTATTCTTTCTTGTATCGGTACAAGGTAAGTGATTCTTAATAAACACTTGTGAATACATTTAGCTATATTGAACCTTGAAGCTATCGTTGGGTTAATCTATGGTAAGGGCCTGGCTAACTCTTAGATCGAACCCTGAAACAATCTCTGGGTTGATTTAAGTCAGAGCATGACTCGCAGATCGCACTATAGAACGACCTCTTGGCCGATGTAAGTTAAGACATGGCTAACTCTCCGATCGATTTAAAATATTTAACGAGTAGGTTTTGCAGAGTAATGAAAAATGAAATACCCGGTGGAAAAATATTATCGCATTCAAAGCAGAGAGACCTAACAAATTCTACTCACATGTGGAAGCGAGTCCATGGATCACAGCCGAGATCCGACGGAGTTGAAATGTTATACCACTTGATTCGTATATTTGGTACTGCATACTGACTTCACAGAAAAAGTATAAAGGCCAGCAGATCTCAATGATTTTGGCATTGTTAAATAGTGTGGTTCAAAAGAAATATTACAAATTTGGTTAATAAAKGATAAGCAATAGAAGCTTTCGATCCCGTGTTCCCAATTATTTACATTTGATTCTTCCCTTTAAAGCGCCGAAATGTCCATTCCCTAATTTCATATATTCTTATTTTTGGGGTGAGCTAAAACGACTTCTCTTCTTGTTGCTTTCAAAACCAAACTTTATGCATAGTACAAAACGTAACATGAGCGTTTATGTCCTTACAGCTTGCTTTTACCCATTAGAAAGTCTGAAAAATTGTATGTTATCTTCTACTCTTATAATGTCCCTTTTTGGATCCTCCATCCTCTTTTGCAAGGATGACTGAACTAATGAGCTTTTATCGTGTAATATGTTGKTTTTTTTAAAGCTTATAGGACAAAACAATAATTTACGATAGCTGGAAAGAGCACTGACGGTTAAGATTCAGTAGAACTGTGAATGAAATAAGTTACTCGTAAAGATGTTATAGAGTACAAACACTATAAGTGTGTAACGTAAATACCACTAAATACTGCTAAATTATGCTAATCCTACTGTTTTCTATTGTTTAATTAGCACTATTTACTACTAAACAGTGCAAAGTGTTGCACACTTTTAGTGTTTGTACTCTGTTAGGAAATGTTAATTTTATAAGAAAAGCTTTTCTATGAATGCAACAAAGTCTCCAACGAATATTTTAACGCAACATTTCCATTTTTTTAAACTTATATCTTCACGATTTTTGAACTTAATTTCTTCCAACTTCACAGTCTAATTTTAACATGCTTCCCCCAGCTGCTGTAATTATTTTTCTTTCCTGTGAGTTTTGAATTACACGCTTATAGCTCATTATTATAAGTTTCTAGCTTTTAAAACTTGGCACGAAAATTATTTGCTTTTCTAACTCCGCTAGAGTCTGTTGTTTTCGAGTTTTGCAAGCATGGAACTATTCTGATTCGAGCTTCTTTGCTAATCAAATATATAATATTATAATTTACATTATTATAATATATTATAATGTAACCAGGATATTCACATGCCACAAACATTAATTTCAAGAATGGCTTTCTATCATTATCTTGCACTGTATTTTTCTGTTCGAAATACATCTGATATTTACAGCTACAGGGAAATGGTTTAGTTTATAACTGCGCCATTGGCTTTTCTTTTGATTTTCTTTTTTTTTTTTTTTTTGAAAAACCCTCGATTAATATTAGTATTATTATTATCATATTATTATTATATCATAATATCATCATCATCATCAACATCATCTTCATCATAACAATAGCAACAACAATAATAACGGCAATAATAATAATAATGATTGGACTCGGTAAACTAAGGATTGTCTAAGCAAAATTGAAGCAAATTGTAAATAAAGATAATAAAGATAATAATAATGATGATGATGATGAAGATGATGATTATAATATTATAATATTATAATATAATAATAATAATAATAATAATAATAATAATAATCAAGGGTTTTTTCTACGGGTTCTCAGGTTTTTCTCCCTCCACAAAAATCTACTTTCAAAATCTAATTCGATCTTGGACGAGAGTCACAGGTTTGATAACCACTAGCGATTATTAATAAATGATACCKTCCAATGATCAGTAAGATTTAATTATCTGTTTCAACTTAAAAGGCGTCTTTTTTTAGATGCATCTCATTCAGGCACTAGCCTTGCTCGTGGTATGTTTCCATTCTGGTGTATTTGCAGCATCAGGTAAGTTAAAATTAACATTTGATTTTTCTAGAGATTGTTTCAGGTGTCTCTATAAAGATAAATTGCAGGCATGTTTGAGCCGAAATATTTWAAAAAAATTCTTTGAAAAATGAAATATTTTGTCATGCAGAAGCATTCCTGCTCTACGATGTGGCTGCCCTGATACCGGAAGTGCCAACTGATGATATTTAAACCCATTAGCCTTTCCTTAATTGAGGAAGGGACTCGAAGCAAGTGTAGAGATATTAACTTGATTACATTTGAATTTGAGTTTGAGAATGTTTGGGTAAATACTGACTCATTAGAAGGCTTTAAACAAAACGTAAACATAAGAGAGAATGTAGTATTTTTGTTTTTGTTCATTTTTGCAAATCTCGACACAACAATAACGTTCTCTTGCATCATCATTTTTCCCATGAGGCACATCACTGGCCTAGGGGCGCTCCTGATAAGGATAACCTATCCACCAGTCCTATTTCATATTAAATCTCATGAGTTAGTACCATACTTTTATTTATTTATTTTTAAAAAATATAAAAAATCCAAGGTACCAGCCGGTGAGGGGTTCATTTGCACCCAATGAACCCCCCCTAAATCCGCCACAGAGATTTGCGACTTTTATATTAACAGCTCGCTATTCAGTAGGTATTCGTTCAAACATGCTTTATTGCAAACTTAAAAGCCTGCAGCTTAAGTTCGCAGTAACGAAAATCGCAGTAGCCTTTTTTTCCCTTTTGTTAAAGAATGGGAAGCTCTTGGTTGCTTCAAGGACGGCCACTCGAGAACCATGCCTCACTTCTTGGGAAAAGTTCATTATAATCCTTCAAATCCGGGTTATAAACTCATGTTTGATCAGTGCCGTAAAAAAGCAGAAGACCATGGTTACACTTATTTTGGGGTTCAGAATATGAAAGAATGTTGGGGATCAAAGAATGCAATGGAAACGTACGATGATCTAGGATGTGATGATTACTGTAGAGTAGACGACGAAGGGTACGGCACCGGTGGCAAATGGTTGAACTTTGTCTATCGAGTGAAAAAAGGTGCGTTCTTATTGGCCATCGTTATTTATGAAATAACTGTTATGAATCTCGCGTTATGATTGGTTGAGAGCGCTTCCTTTATAAGAGCACAAAGCACGCGCTCGCACCTTATTTCAGTTGCGTAATTCTTATCCAAAATAACGGTTATCGTATTTTTTATTTTATAAAAGAAATAAAAAAACTTGCTTGCTGTGCTGTGCTGTGTGCAGTTATAAAACACTTGGGGATTGACAGAACAATCGAGAAGTGCCAAGCAGCACTCCGCTACGCGTCGTGTTTCTCCTAACACTTATCTCGTGTTAAGTTAACTACGCGTGTTTTATATATGCACAATGCACTCGCGCGAGCTTTGTATTTCCAAAATAAGGTGGTCCATAAAGGATTGATTGCACGGAGCAATTTTTTGCAACTTTTCTAGCAATACTTTTGCGACACAAGGTGCAGGAGGGTTTACACGGTGCCACTTTGACGCAATCGTTTCCAAAAGAAGAAACAAATGTTACTGTTGTTTTTACTTGTTTCGCAACGTTTTTCGTTTTCAAATTGCGCTGTAGGTTACATGATGCAACGTTCCATGCAAATTGTGTCGCGTTGCATAACAAGTTGCAAATAAAATTGCTTTGTGTAGTCGCACCTTAAGGGACATACAGCAAGCTGTTGATGCAGATAACAAAGTAGCTGCTGCATTTTGGACTCGCGAGTTGCTGCAAAAAAGAAAAGTTTTTGCTGTTAAAACGAATGAAATTGCTGCATGCTAAACAAGTAGATGTAAGTAACAAACGAGTAATTTGCTGCAAAAAATAAGAAACGAGTTGCTGCAAACAAGCAACGAGTTGCTACAAATAAGAAAGGTTGCTGCAAATAAGAAACGAGTTGCGGCAAATAAGAAACGAGTTGCTACAAAAAAGAAAGGAGCCGTGAACGAACAAACGCCATAAATAAATATAATCGTTGTAAATTATTTCCCAAGGCCATATTTAATAAGTCGGATCTAACATTTCACAGACTTACTCATAATCAACTTACACGTAACTTATGCACGCAGACCTCAGTTCATTTTCTCGTTTGTGTTTTATAACTAAAAACTCGCTCATCTGCACAGGCTTAGCCTTACTTAATAGTAAATCATTTGCAAACATCAACTGTAATGTAAAGAATGTGCAAGTTGGATCAGTGATACTTTTTGCTTTGAAACCAAAATGACTATTGATAATATAGATAAATAACTTACTTTTTGTGATGCTTGTGCTTGTGCTTGCGTTTCTCATTGTTTGTATGGAGTCTTATGCTTGCGCTTGGGATTATGCATGCGTAGCTAATGAAAATCAGGCTTTATAAACGAACATAAGCCTATGGAAACTGAGTGTGGTCTTAAAAGCAGCGGTAACTGGCTTATTCCGTTTTATTGTTCAGATTGGACAGAATGTTCCAGAGATGTGTGCTTGCAGTACGAAATCGTTCTAAAGAAGCTCTATGGTGCAAAGTGTCCGGAGTACAACAAAGAGGTTTACGTGGATAAAGAAATAACTAAGCCGTGTGAAAACAAGGATAAATGTGTTGGTATGTATACCAATGAACTCCATCATAATCCCTGAAGATTGTTGATTGTGCTGAAGACTCAAAAATATTCCTTGCACCAACACCCTGCTCCAGCAAACGGTGGGGAAGAATGTGAAGGAGACGCTAAGGAAACAAAAGCTTGCAACAGTGAGCCTTGTAGACGTCTATACGTTTTAGTAACTTTTTTTTTCGGTGACGTGCAATAAGATTTAACTGACGGGAAAAAAAAGTTAAATAGTCTTCTTCACGGTTTACCTGCCATATTTAATAAATTATATCAATTTGGTTACCATGGAGATAACTTGGCAGTAGAATTCAAATCACCGCCAGGATATCCCCAAGGTAACCACGTATACTAAAGAGTTAAGATTGTACCACCGTTTACTCTTTTGTGATTCTCTCTGTACATAGTTGATGGTGGCTGGAGTGACTTCTCTCACTGGTCCGACTGTACGAAAACCTGTGGTGGTGGAACRAAAGAGAGAACTCGTTCCTGTACCAATCCTGCTCCATCATTCGATGGAAAAGACTGTGAAGGAGTTGCCAAGGAAACCAAAGCTTGCAACAGCGAGCCTTGTCGCCCACGTCTATCTTATCTTACAAGTAATGGTTAGTTAGTCTTAGGAACCAATGCAAAGCTACTATGATTGAATAAGGGCCATGACAACCTAGATAAGCGAGGCAGTTGCTGTGTTAAAATCATGGCCAAAAGATTTCCCCTCAAAACTCTTGAACTCCTAGTGCTACACAGTTTATCCTCAACTGGAAATTCATAGTCTTTTAATTGTTTATCTGCAGGTCCTTCTATCCAATGCTACCAGTGTATCGGAAAAGATTGCACTGCTACCAGCAACTGCTCCTCAAGGTTCGATGCCTGTGCCTTCGTCCACATACATGGGGAAGCATACGCTCGCTTCTGCAGTACAAAAGACAAATGTGACGAAGCAGCTTTTGAATGTGAGAAGACCAAGGAGTGTGCTGTGAAATGCTGCCAGACGGACCTTTGCAATAAAGAAGGTCCGATGGCACATCCAAGTGGAGGTGCTACCATCATCGGTTCTAAGGCTTTCATCGCTGTCCCTCTTGTTGTAGGGATTTTGTCCTACTTTATAATGTCGTGATCATAACGTAAATGAAAGAGGCTTCTCGACAGCCTTGAAGTAAGAACGATTTAATGTGCGTACTTAAATAGACATCACACCAACCAAATAAACACATATTATAAACATATTGGAAAAACGTTATAAGAATAAAAAGATAGATTAAAAAAGCGGCTTATTGGGAACATAAAGGTATTGATTGACAGCTGCAATATCAGTGCTTATAGCCCACATTCGAGATTTGCTTCGCTTGTCACACACGAAGGATTCAATGCGAGGCTTCGTGCATAATGCTCAGTGATTCGTGACAGGAAAAAAAWTTAATTTAATTCAGCACGTAGCCTCGTATTGAAACTTTTGTGCGTGACAATCGAAGTATATCTCGGAGGTGGGCTATTGATCGGTCTATTGCGCTATCGTAACTATAGAGGTTTTGCACCACCACGTAACGGCAGCCATCTTAAATGGCAGTAACAATACAATCGTTTTACATGAGAAAGAATTCAATTACCAAGAGCAAAGGAATTTTATCGTTCTGCCATCTAACCACAGGAAGCCCAAGCAGTATTATGGGATGGGCACGTAATGGTGCGAAAACCCTCTATTTGCGCTATTTATTTTAATTTATAGCAGAAAATGAGGGGGGAAAAAGGACATTTTATGACTCGACTATCCCAGGTTTCACAGTATTAAAAACCTTTTGGGCCATGACTGTTTTGAGTTTCAAGTCATGTAAAAAATCAAGCCAAACAAAACATCGCAAACTGATCGAAGATGTACAACGTAGAGCAACAAAGTTTATCTTAAAATATCCTGAGGACATGTCCTACCCCGAAAGACTCTCATGTTCAACTTTTAGAACACAGACGAGAAATAACTGACCTGGTTATGCTGTATAAAATAAGGAAGGGGTTAATAGACACCGATCTCAAACAACATCTGCTTCATGCTACATCCTGCTACAGAAAACGCAACTTCGACAAAAAGAAAAAAATATTCAATTGATAGTTTTCAACCATTCCCAACAGATTTGAATACCAAAAGACACGGCGGCCATGTTGGAGGATATAACAAAAGAATTCATTGACAATTCTTTTGTTAAGTTCCTCCAACATGGYCGCCGTGAAAACCATCAATTGGCACACCACAAGGAAACCTACTACAGATCATCGTTTTTTCCAAGAACTGTAGAGCTCTGGAACGGTCTTTCCAGTGAAATGAAATCAAAGCCGTTGTCGCTGATAAAACTTAGACAGCATATTCTCAATTACTATTATCAGAAACTRCCCTCATACCAGCCACCACAGTGATGTGCTATAAATCAATTTAATTTCCTTATCGATCGCTAAGGTATCTTGTAGTTATTTCCATATCCAGTTAAATTCAAATTCAGCATTATCACTTCAAAATGAGATCTTGGTATTATTTTTTACTGTTGCAATAGGGACGGAAAGGATGTCAATTGGGACGCAAGTCCTGGTTCCTCCTCGTGTCACACTTTTATCGTCTATAATCCTCGTAGTCTTGCTTCTTACTGTCTCCTGATCTACATACATTCTTTATCATACTTTATAATTGTATTTAATATGATTACTTAGCAATAATTAGCTCCCATCTGAATTGTAAATAGAGTGACAAATAAGTAAATAAAGTAAATAAATAAATGCTAATGACTCACAGATCAATAACAACCTCTGAGGGGCTGATCGAAGTACTCAGGGTTTAGTGTGGCATGCTTGCATGTGGCTAAAAACGGTATCGATTAGATTTAATTAACAATCCAAATTTCAATGGTCCATAACCTTTTGTAAGATAATAAATTGATATGTCAATATAACTTATTCGTTTCACAGACCAAGTAAAATGATATCTAATGCATTCACCAATCCATGTCAGCTCAATCGATTTAATCTCAGTATGGAATATTTTTTCTATTGTTTATCTGATGAAAAGGATTTCTGCGCCATTTCATTGCTAGAACAATCGGGTTTGACATTCTCTATGAAGATCTAGTTTTAGATGGATACTTTTGTAATTGAAACAAGCGATAGAAAAACTGGTGAAAAAATTGAACGATCGCTGTACACTGGAGTGCAAACAATTAATCCGTGAAACACTAATTACTAAATAGTACGAAATAGTGCTAGTTAAACAATAGAAAACAATGGAATTTGCATGAAATTGTGCTATTTAGTATTACTAAAGTTTCACGGTTATATTGTTTGCACTCTAACTATCTATTCTTCCTATATTATTGTATCTTTTAATTTACTTTCTTGTTATTTTCTTTCTTTGTTTTAATACTCCGAAGGTTTTATGGATGGATGCCTTTATTCCTTATTAGCATCTCTGACCTAGCCATCAATGCAGAACTAGAAAAGCTCAGATCACGTAAAGATCACGAAAACACACGTACTAAGATCGGAATGCTATTAGAAAGATCATATTCTTTTATTTCCACAGTGACAAGTTTCAGACAATTTGAAGAAAAATTATAATGGACAGAAGAATCACGCAACTTTTATGAATGTCTCCACGGCACGAAGTATAAGAAAAGACACAAGCCACGGTAACCATGAAAATGAAAGCAGCGACTGTATTTCTTATTTCGTTGACGATTTCCGTAACCATTGGTAAGTTACTGAACATGTATATTATTGTAGCTCTTGATAWGATAAGTTTAATGATCAAATTTAAACTAATATGTATTATAAATTTGATTTAAACTTCAAATATAAACCTACTTTTCGGTTTTATCCAAATTTCTTTTCTTATGATCAATATATTGTAAAGCGTTGTTGAAGCCATGCGATATTGACGCTATATAAAATACTCATTATTATTA